ATTTGAAAATGCTGATATAAAGCACTGGGGTTAAGATCATAGATACATGGGCTCACAGGGCCCAAGTCTGAATCCCAGTTGTTACTTACTTTGTACCTGAGAGCAAATAACTGAACTTTTTCAACCTTGGTTTCCTTCTCTATGTAATGGGTATAATAAACCTATGTCTTTGGGCTGTAAAAACCACGAAAAGATCATTAAAAAAAAAAAAAAAAGCCTCTGGCACAGAGTAGATTGCTTAATAAATATTGCTGAGTTAATGAATGAACCCATGACCTTAGCAGTGCCTGGCACATGGTAACAGCTTACTAAAGGCAGCCACCACCTATAAGGCACACCGTAACTGTCAGGACTTTTCACCCTACCTGTGTCTGTGGCATTATGTAAATGCTGCCAGGTGGGTCTGTGGGCAGAAGGCCCAGGGGCCACAGAGCCTGCCTGCAAACCACACAGTGGGTAAGGGCACTGCTAGGCTAGAGTCCCTCTGTTGCCAAATCTGGGTTCCTCCCAGCTACCTTGTAGTCCTATGAGACAGGACCAATCCAGCTTTCACCCAGCTATGGAACCTTTACCAAATAGATGTCCTGTGACTCTTAAACCCCAGGAGCAGGGTGCCTTCACTCCCTGATACAGCACAGAGAGTGCTGGGGCAGGGCCTCGGGACTGCCTCTATTCTGCTCTCCCAGCTTCACCTGCTCTTGCTTTGTGCCACCCCAGATGCTAGGATGCCCATGGTGTGCCCAGTTGGCCCTACCACTCCTTTTCCAGGAGCCCTGTAGGAACTTCTCCCAGAAGGCTCACCTAAGTCTTTCATGATGTAGCCTCGCCTGTTTAATGGGTTAATGGGTACTCTGGTGGAGGCAGAGGACAGCTGTTCTTTCCCCCATGTGGTAACATTTTACTTGAATCATAGTCCTTTGTGTTTTGAGACTGGGGTTTCACTATGTTGCCAAGTCTGGTCTCGAACACCTAGGCTCAAGCTCTGCTCTGTTCTCCCACCTCAGCCTCCTGGGTAGCTGTGGCTACAGGCGCACGCCACCACACCTGGCCTGGATTGTGGTTCTTATCTGGCTATACATTAGCTTTATCTGGAGAACTTAAAATGCTTGTGCCCAGGCCCCTCAGAATGAATTAGAATTGGGTGAGCGGAACAGGTGAGGTATTTTCTTAAAGCTTCCCAGGCGATCCCGATGTGCAGCCAGGGCTGAGAGTGCCAAGGTCGATGGATAGCTTGAAGAACACACGGGTTATAAGCATGGGCTCTGCAGTTCTGTCACTTGCTAGCAAATGACCTTGGTCAGTGGCCTAAAATCTGTGAACCTGTTTCATTTGGCAACTGGGATGACAACACCTAACTCACCAGGATGTCATGTGGAAGAAGGAAGATGGCACATTAAGCGGAAGGTAGGTACAGGCTGCATGGCAGGGACTTGGTAACCTCTGATAACTTGTCCTCTAGTTTCCTCTTCTTCACATGAGCTCATCCTGCTTCTTTTGAACACTTCCTCCTTGGATTGGGATGTTCACCCTTCATTATAAGGGCAGATCTCAAGTATGCTATCTTTCTTCTTTGCAGGGTTGAGAGATGGGACTAGAACTAAGGGGCTGGAAATAAGGGGAGGGGATGCCCTAGGTCCCCATTTGCTGAACCAGGCCAACCTGGCTACCTTCCTATGCAGGAACCCCACTTCATGTCAATGCCAACACAGCTGAAAGATCAGAATCCTTCTACTGGTGGCCACTGTGACCCCCAGATCATCTTCTGCTTCCTTGCAGAGCCATAGAATCAGTATCATGGATTGGGTTGTGGAGCTTTCCTCCTCAGCCTTACAATAACTAATGTGACAAATATTTATATGCTACTATGTGTTGGGTGTCATGCCAGGTGTGCCGGGGGCATAGGATGTAGAGTAAGAGAGATGCATTCACTGGTGGGGGAGGCCTCCTCATCTGTCATGGTGGATGATAACAGTTCCTGAGCTACAGGGGTGCTTCGGGGCTGCAAGAGATAATGCAGGCAAAACGCTGAGAGCAGCAGCTCCCACCCAGCCAATGCTTGGCTCCATGAGCTATAAGGCAGGAACACGATGGGGAAGTACGGTAAGGCTCTGAAGACCCAGACATGTTGCCTCTAATTCAGGAAGGTGGCTTCAGAGGGCGTGCCCAGGGATGAGAGGTTTCTGTCTCCTGCCTCACCCCTGGGACTGAGTGTCGAGGTCCCTCCTGGTCAGATTCGGGGATGGACAGGGGCAGCACTAGAGTACCTGGCCTGGGTCCCAGCCCTGCTGACACCAAGTCAGGCTATAGGCCCCGCCCATGACTGTGTCCTGTAGTCCCTGAGAGAGGAGTCCCTGGGCAGACCAAGGTACACAGGAAGGAAGGTGGGGAGAGCGGCTGTGGGGGCCTTGAGGCGAGGAATGGCCAGGAGAAGGTGCAGACACTCTTCTCTCTGGGGCAGGAAGTGGGGCGTGTCCAACTTACTGTTCTGTTCTTGGCCAAGGGCAGCCAATATAGGCCTGCAGGAGAGCCTGGAGGAGGGCGACGGGGCCCCACAGGGCAGGGGATGGCTCACAACTCCAGAGCCGGGGAGGACCTCAGGCTACACAGGGAGGGAAGGGACAAGGGACACTGGGTCCAGAACCCAGGCATCTGTGGTTTCAGGCTGGAAAAGGAGGCCAGACCAAGGGTGAGCTCTCTAAAGGAAGGAAAACAGTGTTTGGTGGAGTCAAAGTGTGGGGGGCGGGGGAGAGCATCTCCAGGATAGTCCCCTACATATCACTCTCCGAGTATGAATGAGTCTATAATCACCTATCCACCTCAATGCCCCATAAAATTCTCTATAGCCCTTCCTAGCTGTGTCATCTCAGGCAGGTTACTAAGCCTCTCTGAGCCGCTGGCTTTTTGTCTTAAGAAAAGGGTTACTAAGACCTGCATTGCAGTGCTAATGAGAAAAACACATGTAATGCCCCTGCCGGCACGGCAGGCCCAGAATCAGGCTCAGGCAATGGCGGCTGCTGCGGGCCCCTGTGCCATCTTTTCCTATCAATTCTTCTTCATTTATGCTCTAAATTTTTTTGGCCCTCGGCCAACAGGCCTGTGGTAAATTTACTGGAGGTTCTTATTCCAGAGAATAGAAACAGGAGGGCAGGGTGAGCAGGATACTTTCTGTGCCATCCCCACATTCGTCCAGGCAGAAGGAAATGAGCCCTGACCTTGAAAGTGACATAATTTTGGGGAGGGGGTGTCTGGGTAAACCTTCCTCCTGGGTCAAGCTCCCCATCAGATGGTATCCATCCTCAGAAAATGTTCAAAGGAAAGAATAAACATCTAGACCCACAGCTAATTGAGTTGCAGGTGGCTAGAGACAGACCCATTTGACTCTCCCCCTCCTTCCCCCAAAGTGGCCCTCAGGTGACAGGGCAAACGGGCAGCCTCTCGCAGGGAAATCAGGAAGAGAGGGAGAAAGAGCTGGGAGGTGGGTGGCTGGGATGAGGAATGAGGCAAAGAAAAATGGCCAGCAAAATGCAGAAACGCCCCAGCATGCTTGCTTCCCAAACCCGGCCCATGAATCGAGGGGTGACAGGTCTCTCATCTCCGATGCCAAGAGCCAGGAGCTCCGGGCAGCCGCAGGTATTACATCTGCACCTGCCAGCCATTGGAGAGAGGCCATAAAGCATCGTAGCAGGGCTCAGAATGCCAAGTGACTGCAGCTGGGAAGGGATCGCCTTGCGGTAAGAGCAGTTCACGGGGCGAGAGCTGCTCCCAGAGCCAGGTCTGGGCACCCCTCCCTCCTGAGATTGCTTGCTTCTGGGGGCCCAGCGGTGGACAGAGGAGGGCGGGGCCGGTACACATGCAATCTAGCCCTGTGCTGGCCAAGACAGGCAGGGAGCTTCTGGTAAAGCCCAGTAGGCCAGGTGATTTACCAGGGCTGGCAGAAAGCTGGGATGTTGGAGTCACTGGTAAATAAAAGCGGATGGTAAAGCACACAAGCTGAGCCTGCGTCTCTGGAAATGCACTAGTCCCATCCCCCAAATGATCATCATAATAACAGTGTTTATAAAGCACTTCAGATAGGGTGCCAGGCCCTGTCCTAAGTGCTTTTTAACACATATTAATTTACTTAATCCTCACAACAGCCCTAAGAAGTTTATGGTAGTATTATAACATCTTCCTTCAACATACCAGAAAGATGGCTGAGTGTGCTGGCTCACGCCTGTAATCCCAGCACTTTGGGAGGCAGAGGCACGCGGATCACTTGAGCCCGGGAGTTTGAGAACAGCCTGGGCAACATAGTGACACACGACACACACCCCCCACCCCCTGCTGCCGTCTCTACAAAAAATAAAAATAAATTGGGTAGGCGTGGTGGCAGGCATCTGTAGTCTTAGCTACTCAGGAGGCTGAGGCGAGGGGATCACTTGAGCCTAGGGAGGTTGAGGCTGCAGTGAACCCTGATCATGCCACTGCACTCCAGCCTGAGTGACAGTGCAAGACCCTGTCTCAAAAAAAAAGTACAAATATATTCCAGAAATATGAGGCAGCATGGAGAGGTCACAGAGCCACACACTGTCCAGCGCACCACAAACTCTACTGTGCCCGTCGATCACCCAAGGGGCTTCGTAGCTCACAGGCCCTGACTCAGTCGGCCTCGGGTGGGTGGGGGACTGCATCACTAACAAGCTCCCAGGTGAGGCCGCTGGTCCGAGGACCACACGTTGAATGGAGAGGCTGTAAACTACTCCTTCTGTGCTGTCTTCCCGTGGTGCTCCCTCAGCCACAGAAACAGTTATACCCCATTGCTCTGGCCCTGGGAGGCATCTGAATTCTTCAGTTAACAGAAAAGGCCCTCACAGGGTGTCAGATCATGGGGGGAGTTGGGGGAGGGTGGAGTAGGGGACTGTGGAAGTGTGAAGTTGTAAATATGTCAACAACCACACCCCAGCTCGGACTAATCCAATCAATCCCTGGGGTGTGGCCCACATTGGTACTTTTTTTCTTTCTATCAGATGGGTAATGTGCCAATGACATAACAAGGGTTGAGGGAGGCCTGTCTCACACGTGTGCGTGGAAACCCAATCATCAGGCTCATGAACTACAAAAGGACCCTGGACTGGTGTTTTTTAAGAAGCTCCCTGGGTGACCCACATGTATAGCTGCAGCGAGTCCTTGAGATGAACAACAGGGATGCCTTCGGTATGGCAGATTCATGCCTACAAAACCGAGGACACCTCCTCGGGGTGAGGCCAAGGATTTCAGGATTTCCTTCCGGGAAGCAGTGGTGAGCCACCTACTGAGCCCCTGGAGGGTGTGGCTGGGGTCTGCTAGCATACCCCATTCTTGTTTGAAGCACCCCTGGAGAAGAGGGGCACAGCTGGGCAGCTGGCAACATCCCAACTTGGCATTTGTCGGAGAAGTCCTTGCCTCCCCAACCCCAAGCTCTCAAGTGAGAGCAGACACCAGCCCGAGTCAGCCGTGGAAACAGAAACTCCTGACCAAGACTCTCCTTGACCAGACTTTCATCAGGCCCTCTGAGCCCTCTCTTCGACCTTGGCCCCCACCCCCCAGTCTTGACTTCTGCTTCCCCTACCCAGTCTTAGCCAAAAATCCTGCGAAGTCAGATGAGCCAGCATCCCCCCACCTTTGAGATTGGGTCAAGTTCCTCATCCCCCACCTTTGATGTACAGCTGTCGGGGCATTGGTCCAGGACTCCCACCTATACCAAAATTCACACATACTCAGGTCCTCCCGTCAGCCCCACGGAACCCAGCCCTCCATATACTTGGGTTTTGAACTCCACTAATATTACGTTTTCCATCAGCATTTGTTTGAAAAACTTCACATATAAATGAACCCCTGCAATTCAAATCCACATTGTTTAAGAGTAGACTGTGTAAGTCCTAGGCCTGCTTTCAGCAAGAATCCTGTTAGGCCAGTTGAGCCAGAATCTCCCCATCTCTCATATCTGATCATGTTCCTCACCCCACTCAGTGGTTCCAGGATCCCTGCATATACCAAAACCCGAGCACCTCAGTCAGTCCTGCAGAAGCACGAATAGGAAACGTCAGCCCTCTGTATATGCAGGTTTCACAACTCACAAACACTGTGTTTTCCATCCACATTTGGTTGAAAAAAAAATCTGCATGTAAGCGAAACTTTGTTGTTCCGGAGTCGACTGTGTAAGTCCTGGACCTGCTTTCAGCAAGCAGAGCCCTCACCTTGACGTCTCCTCTTAGAAGTGTGCCATCCTCTGGCCCCTCACGCTGCTCCTTGGCTATAAATCCCCACGTCTCCTTTTCCGAGTTGAGCTCCATTTATCTCTACTAAAACAGTCTTAAATAAAGCTTTCCTTACTGTTTTAACAAGTGTCAGTATAGTGTTTTTCTTTAATCCTCTTCCTCTACTGCCCTCACCTTTCTGGAAAAAAGTGAGGTGAGCAGCGAAGTGAGCAGCCCTGTCAACTAAACAAAAATGACTCCTCACCTTGACATTCAAGGCCCCGGGCAATGATCTCAAGACCTCTCTCTCTCTTACTTGTACCCCAAACATGGCTTCCCCGTTTGTCATACACACATGAACTTTCCTGCCATTCTGCCATTGCCCAGACTTTTGCTTCTATCTAGATTGTTTCCTCCCCTTTCTTCAAACCCATGCACTCCAAGTCACAGCAATCTTTCCCATGGCGATCAGACTAATTATACCTGAGGATTCATTTTTCCCATCTTCCATCACAGAATCTCCCATTTTAGTGGGCACATGATTCCCTGAGATAAAGCTACACTGACAGACTACATTTCCCAGCCTGCTCTGCAAGCTGATGTGGTCACATGCCTAAGTTCTGACCAATGCAATGTAAGAAGGGCAATGTGTGTTACTTCCAGGAAGTGTTCTTACAGGCAACAGGCATTTCCTCATTCTCCTCCTCTTTCCTATTAATGTAATGGCTGAACCTACAATAGCCATCTTGCACTAAGAAGTGGACTTGGCCATGAAAGCTGACAGAGGTGAAGCAACTGGGTTCCCCTGGGTTCCTAACACCATAGAATACCATACCATCCTTGGGCTGTCCCCACCATACTTGAACGTGAGAGAAAAATGACCTTCTGCAGGGCACGGTGGCTCACGCCTGTAATCCCAACACTTTGGGAGGCTGAGGTGGGAGGATCACCTGAGGTTGGGAGTTCGAGACAGCCTGACCAACATGTAGAAACCCTGTCTGTACTAAAAATACAAAATTAGCTGGGTGTGGTGGTGCATGCCTGTAATCCCAGCTATTCGGGAGGCTGAGGCAGAAGAATTGCTTAAACCCAGGAGGTTACGGTGAGCCGAGATTGCACCACTGTACTCTAGCCTGAGAACAAGAGCAAATCTCTGCCTCAAAAAAAAAAAGGAAAAGAGAAAAGGAAAATGACCTTCCATCTCGTTTTAGTTACTAGTCTTCTGGAATTTTCTGTAACTCACAAATGAACATAACATAACGCTATTCAGTCCATACCTTCAAACCCCTGGAGGCATGAACTCTAGATTCTTGGGTTTACCATACATACCACATGGAACCATAATTTGCATCTTCTTCCCAAGCTAAACAGTAAGGGATCTAAAGGCTGGAAATGTGTCTGAAATCTCCATCTTCCCCTGCCATGTGAGGCATGAGGCCTCTGTATGCTCCCACCAGCCTTGCAGGAGAAACATGTGCTTACCAAGATGTCTGAGCCCCCAGGGTCCTCCCCCGTGGCTGGGCTGGAGGAGTTGCCCAGTTTGAACATCCAGTACTCCTTGGCAGTGACAAAAAAGTTCCATGGCAGTAGACTGCCAATGCCCAGGCTGAAGAAGATGATGTATGTGCCATAGTAGCGGTCCTCGGGCCTCTGCAGGCCAGGAGGCGGGCGGTCCAGCAGCTTCTCAAGCAGTGCCTCCTGGTCAGCTCGGAGACTGCTACTTGCGATTCTGTAGGTGGAGTTTGAACTGTGCTGAAAGTCCTCTGAGGCAATGGCCACTGTCGGAGCAAGGAGGGTAACAGAGACAGGCAGGTGAGTAAAAACTGAGGCTGGGGACAGCTGGGGACCCACCCAACCTACAGAATGACCAGGCCCCTACACCCTGGGCTCTGTTAACATCACCAGAGCCTGGTTAGAGAGCTTCATTCTTAAGGATCAGGGAGAAAGACAAAAATCAGACCTGGAGAAGCGCAGGTGTCAGAACTTAAGTGTCCTTAGAAGTCACCCCAACCATGCAAGGGCAACAGAGGTAGCACATAACTGTGGAACAGGCTGGGTGTAAAACACTGCAACATAGTTGGCCCGTGGCAATGTATCCAGAAAGGCAAACCTGGTCTAAAGGCATTCATAGTTTTTTTTTTTTTTTTTTTTTTGAGATGGAGTCTCACTCTGTTGCCCAGGCTGGAGTACAGTGGTGTGATCTCAGCTCACTGTAACCTCCACTTCGCGGGTTCAAACGATTCTTCTGCCTCAGTCTCCGGAGTAGCTGGGATTACAGGCATGCACCACCATGCCTGGCTAACGTGTGTGTGTGTGTGTGTGTGTGTGTGTGTGTGTGTGTGTGTGTCTGGTGTTTTGTTTTTTTTTTTCTTTTTTTTTTTTTTGTATTTTTAGTAGAGACAGAGGTTTTAGCATGTTGGCCAGGCTGGTCTCGAAGTCCTGACCTCAAGTGATCCACCCACCTTGGCCTCCCAAAGTGCTGGGATTACAGGCATGAGCCACCGCGCCTGGCCAAGGCATTCACAGTTCTATGCAGCCATGAAAAAGGAATTAGGACCCTTGATGGGCAAAGAATGACCTCTAAACCCTTTTCAACTTTATGTGAAAAAAATAAGGAACAAGATTGTATGTAGAATATGCTACTATGTGTGTAAAAATGTGGAAAGAGAAAATATACATTCACATATGTATTTGTATATGCATAGAATATCTCTGGAAGGCTACACAAGAAGTTTCTAACAGTGGCTGCCTCTAAGGAGGGAAGCTGGGATGGTGGAGGGTTGGGGAGACTTCCCTGCATACTTATTTGTGCCTCCTGAATTTTGAACTATGTGACTAGTTTATTACCTGTTCAAAAATAAAATTAAAAGTGTAAATAAAAATAAAAATATTCAAATTAAATAATAATTGTATAAAAACTGGTAGTGTCTACGGCTGCCTCCAGAAGCCAGTGTGTACTCTCTGATAGTCCATTCCCATTTCATTTGTGGGGAAAGAGAGGTCCAAAGAACAGGAGGCCATAGGCTAGGTAAATGGCCAAGCCTTGGTTTGCATCTCCTGCCTGGGTTCCTCCTCTGCTCATCACGTCCTAACCAGAGCCAGCCACTTTTAATCTATGGTAACGCCTAAGACAAATGGAAGAGGCTGGGCTGCCAGCGACTATTACCTACATGGCGTTGGGCAAGTTACCACATTTCTGTGCCTCAATTTCCCCAAATGTAAACCCAGGAAAGCCATTTTTATGACAGTTACGCAACCGCAACTGGCTGGCCAAGCCTGGCCTGTAAGCGGACGTTAAACAAATGTCAGCATCTTCCCTGGCATCCTGGGCCTGTTGCCTGGCTGGCTGGCTGCTGAACTTGGCTGTAAGGTAGCATGCCTACTTCTCTGCTTTAGGTAGCACCTCGGACACGGCAGCAGCTTGATAAATGAGAAGTGTGTCCATAATGCTGAGAACAGGACACTTCAGAGTCCCTTTTGCAGTAGCTTCTTCCCTACCCAATAAACCAATAAATAAATGCATCTTGGTTCCTATAGGAGGCTGAGCCTGACTCAAAGCATTGTGCTAAGAAGACCAGGGCCTTTCTTCCCTGGTGGGAATGGGAACACCCCTCACATGGGTACAGAACCTTATCCACTACTTCAAGAGAACCTCAGAGCATCCCTTGGAATTAGGCAGGGCAGAAAACATTGCCCCTTTTTTTCAGAGGGAAAGACTGAGGTCTGGAAGGCACTTGCTGTGTCCCACATTCAAATAGGAAGAACTCCCAATAGCTAAAATTAAGTAATCACAAATGCCAAGGTCTGCGCCTAACATAGGTCACACTTGAGCCTGACAACAGTGTAACATATTAGGTACTACTCTAAGACCCATTTTGCAGATGAGGGG